GTTTTTAAAGATCTTAGTTTCTCTGTAATTTTAATCCTCACGTACATTCTATATGTGGTGTTTAATAAAGTAATACCACTGCTGTTGATTTTGCTGAAATGTTTGAAGAACGTAGATTCGCGATCTTTGAAATTTATAGTAATATTTTTTTTCTTTTAGACCATCTTTGGATCTCAATGAAAATTCTAAGAAAAAAGCGGAAATAAATAAATCATTTACACAAAAATTGTTACAAGCCGAGAGGTTTGGAAGAAATAATAGTGATTGCGCTGATGTGTACTCAGATTGTTCTGTATCATTGACTGATTTATTTACAATAAAATACAATATTTAGTAATTATGGTAACTTATTAACCTATATTATCCCGTTAAATATTTTCTCTAGCTATGGTGTTCTTCATAAAGCTATCTAAATATTCATCTTTTATATTTTTCGAAGAAACTATTGTTGAGCAAGTAAGTAAAGAGTCTATGTTTATATATCTACGGGGGTCCTACAGCTCCACCTTTTTTTATCAGTCCATTCCTCCTTACCAGAACATTTAAATCTCAAACGTTGTCTGTAATAGATCAGGAAGGTAATCTAAAGACCAATATTGACGAATTATTAGAAATATGGCGAAACTACTGTGACGAGCTATATAAAAATAAGGAGGTACCAGCAGAAAATAATCAGTGGCCCTCTGAATACCTTAGAGAACCTACTGTCTTACTCGCTGAAGTCAAAGATGCAATTAAATCGCTAAAGAGAAATTAATCACCAGGCATTGATTCAATACCAGATGAAATACTGCAGTTACTAGGTAACAAAGGATTACATATCATCCATTCTATCTGCGTCATTGTTTATAATTTAGGAAAATGGCCATCTGATTGGTATACCTTAATTTATATCCCGCTACCCAAATAAAGGAACTACTACCAGATGTGAAATCTATGGTACACTGTCACTAATAAGATATGCTAGTCTTCTTCTTCTTTCAGTGCCTATTCGTTCCGAATATTGGCAATCATTCTGGCTATAATTATTTTATTGACTGATGCTTTAAATAGATTTGTTGTTGTTGTGGAGAACCATTTCCTCAGGTTCTTCAACCATGATATTCTCCTTCTCCCAATTCCTCGCTTTCCGAATACTTTACCCTGTAGGATTACCTTCAGTATCTGTATATGCTAGTAAAATCATCAAAAATAGATTAAAAACCTATCTACATTACCAAATACCTCAGGAACAAGCGTTGTTTGAAAAGGGTTAGAGTATACGGGAACAAATCCTGAACCTAAGACAACTCATTAAAAAGTCTAGAGAATTTCAAGTGCATACGTATATATGCTTTGTCGGCTATCAAAAGACATTTGATTGTGATAGCTAGATAAATAATATGTTGTCCATTTTTGTTCGTTTTTGTCCGTTTTTGTCCGTTTTTGTTGTCCTAATGGGCACACCAATGCCCCTGGTGACACTTCAGATCAAAAGTTTTCAAACCAATTCAAGACCGAGAGAAGTATTAGACAAGAATGCGTGTTGTCACCTGACTTTTTCAACATTTATGGTAAACTGTTCTCGAACGCGACTAGTTCGCGCTCGAGACGCATCGCCTCGACCTTAATTTTTCCTATTGGTCCCTGACCTGGAAATCCCTATTTATCGCTACTTCAGCGCGTATAAAAATAGGCGATTTTCAGGTCAACCAGGTCAGTCCTTCACGGGCTCTCCGAGAGCTTAGTGCTCTCGGGGCTCTGCTTCCTTTTTAGCTTTCCATACTCTGTGGCTGAGTATTTATTCAACTTTTAACTTGGTATTTTATTTCGACTATTTAGTCGTGTAAGAAATATCTTGCCTTTATCAAGGCAAGATATAGATGTATGATAAAAATATATAGATATATATTTTTTTTACATTACTTCAAGGCAAGTCACCTAAGAAGACAACCTGATGGTTTATTTCAACGAAGAATTTTCGTCATGTAAGAAATAACTCGTCTTTCTCAAGACGAGTCATCAGATGAGAAAACTTTTACCTAAAAGCGGACTTGGGTAGAGGTGCTTTCGTTGACGTCTCCAAAGCCCTCTACAGAGCACCCGGAGGCAATAGAAGGATGAATGGGCCGGTGAAGTAACAGTGGCTGGTAGGAAAATCTCCAATTTAAGACTCGTTGATGTCACTACACTTATAGCAACTAATGAGCAAGAAATGTTTAATCTCCTGTGAAGAGTTGAGTTGTAAAGTAATAAAGTTCGTCTGAAAATCAATAAAACTAAAACAAAAATAATGGTGGTCGACAGATTCAACACTAATCAACTGATTAACATGTTACAGGAATATCAGATAGTGGACAGTTTTGTCTATCTCAGTTCTAGTATAACTAACGATGTTAACTGTTAAGCAGAAGTTCGGAGACCACCGAAGATTAATTGTTTCTGGAAACGTTTGGGGAGAAGATCAAGAGAACGATCACCAACTAGATGGTCCAACCAAATTAAGAATTCAGCTGGAAAATCATTCTGCAATGCTCTCAGAATAGCTGAAGGTAGAGAGCGATAAAGAAAAATTGTTTAGGATTATCGGAAGAAATCGCGATCCACAGTAATAGAAAAACGCCAAATGACAGAGAGAATCCTCATCATTTATGGCTCTATCTCTCATTATTTCTCTGATCTCTGCTCTCAATTCTAATGCTGGTCTTTCTCTGTTTCTTCTATTCCATAGAACATAGTCTAATGCCTGTTTTAGCTATCGTTTGTCTTCCATTTGCATTACATGCTTGTACCATAAGATTTGATTGAATTATGCTGTATTCACCGTATTGTAAATCCTTACTATTCTTCTTCTTATTTTCTAATTTGCGATGTGTGAAAGCCTGGATATCCGACATGCTCTTCTTTTTGTTCCTAAGGTGCCCTCTTCATTACTGAAGGTTAGCTATAACTACAGCAAATTGCTCTCTATCTTAAGCTGTCCTTAGTATCGAATATGTGTCCATGCCTGTCCAGTCTTTTATAATTTTTAGCCAGGAGCATTTTTTTCTTCCTGACCTCTTCTTCCTTCCACTTTCCCTTCCATTTTATCAGTCGTAGGAAATTGTATTTTGCTCCCCTGTAAATATGTTCTATATAACTTGTTTTTATGGTTCTTACAATATTTGTGAGTTTTCTATCAGTCCCCATTCCTCTCAGCACCTAGTCTGTCCAAGAGATCTTCAGCATCCTTCGAAAAACCCACATCTTAACGGCTTCTACACGTCTCATACTTGTGATTCCGTGAGTCAATGTTTCCACTTCGTATAGCAACATGAAATAAATGAATGTTTTTACAACTTGGTATCGGATATATAACGATAAGGTAGAGTTTATTAGGATTTTTTTCATTCGTTAAAAAGCGGACCTAGCATACTCTATACGAGCACGTATCTCAACTTCGTAGTCAAGATCGTTGTTTATCTAGCCACCAAGATACTGGAATTTTTGTACTGGTTCTCTGTTTGTTGTAGATACCAATATTAATGTCGGCATTTGGTGCACGTATCACGGCCATTACTTTTGTTTTATTTGTGTTTATATTCAGCCGCTAGCTATCTCACTCTCTGGTTATGGCATTCAAAAGTCGTTGTAAATCCTCAGCACTGCCGCGATATTGACGTTGTCGTCTGAATATCTTAAGTTTTTACATATTCTCCGTTGATTTTTATTCCTTCTTTAATATTTTCGAGGGCATTTTGGAAGACCTTTTCGGAATATATATTAAAGAATAGTGGAGAAAATACACAGCCCTGGAGAACTTATCTTTTTATTGACATTTCTGCTGCCATACGATTGTCTATTTTAATCGACGCTAGTTGATCCCAATATAGGTGTTTAATAAGGGCCACCGTGTTATGGTCTATACCATGTTGTGGTAGGGTTTCTATAAGTTATGTGTGTTTTACTCGATCAAACGCTTTTTCCTAGTCGATAAAACAGAGAAACGCGTCTTTTCGTTGATCTCGGAATTTTTGTAGTAATATCTGGAAGCCAAATAATGTCTTCCTCGTACCAATCCCTATACGAAATCCAAATTGATTGTCGCTCAGATTTCTTTCGCATTCTCTATATATACGTTGATGTCCAATTTTGAGTAAAATTTTAAGAAAATTGCTTATTAGACTAATTAATTTGTACTATGAGCATCTATTTGCTTTAGTTTTCTTGGGTATAGGTATAAATGTCGATCTAAGCCAGTCTTCTGAGAAGATTCCAGTGGTACATATTTTCCAGTGGTATTATTCCAGTGGTATATATATATATATATATATATATATATATATATATATATATATATATATATATATATATATATATATATATATATATAGTAGTGTTAAGGAAGCTCTTCTTAGATAGTCGATTTCTGCCATTTTTATGCGTAAACAAATTAAGGAGACCAATGTAATGAGTTTAGTGTTTCTGGCATATTTCGGATAAAAAGCTACATGAATCTAATATCGATATTTTCCATATTTTAGAAAAGTAAGGACAATAAATTTTGGAAGAATACTAGATAGGTGAGTAAGATAACATATTTTATTTCTTGTTGGTACCATTGCAGTGTTTCGCTGTTATAGTATTTGCAACATTATAAATCGATCAGCTAAGTTTTGTCTCAGTACTTTCTATTATGACCTCGAGTTTTCATAAGTAATCTATGTTTTTTCTCAAACATTCAATATTTCTAGAGAGGTCCAAATGAAATTTACTAATCTTTATATATTATATAGTTTTATTAAGTTTAGAGAATAGCAAATATTATATTTATATATATAAATATATAAATAATAATTAAGTTTAGAATAAAAAGCAAATAAAATGTATTTTTAATCGTTTTTTTTTTATCTAACCCTGCTCTTTTATTTATACATCCGGCAATATAAAGGTGAAATTTAAACAAAAGCTGTTTTAAAAAATACTTGTTTTATTTTATAATGTGATTGTAAAACATTACAATATAAATATATAACAACATGTGCGTATATAACATTAAAATGTTTTAAAAATGTTACAACGTAACATACATCTTATTAAAAAGTTCTATAAAAAATTATCATGTCAAAATTCTCCAATAAATACAAATATGTTATAAAAAATCACAATAAAAGTAATCTAAACGTAAAGTTATAATTTAAAAACACAGGGTAAATAAAGCTGACCCAACGGTCCAAAGCAGTCTTAATAGCACAACACCCAGAACGACCTTCACAGTTTGGTGAATCCAGTATAATCTGCAAAAAAAACATGAATCAGAAAACATTCTTAAAAAATTCTTAAATAAATGATTCAGCTTCAAAAGCAGATACACTAATCTTTGAGCTTCCTGAGCAGGAATTTTGGAAATACAATTTTAGTCTTTCTTGTCATTACCAGATTTAAAGTCATTTTTAGAGAAAAAGTAGAGATTACTATTTGTTTTATTGTTTACATTTGCTTTTGCAATTTATAAAATGTTTAAATTCCTTTTTCATTATTTTCAGATTTTAAATAAATAGAACTGTTTCCAGATATATTTTGTATTTTTGCACCCATTAGCTCGCAGCATTACAATTATGTAACATCATATACTAAGTGATTTGCAATGATTTGAGGAAAAAATTATAATTTACTTTAACCTACCTCCTCCATTTAGCAATGGCTTCAGGAAGAGTGTCCCAGGAATCGTTTAACAAAAACGTCCTTATTCCTATAATACAATACTGGAAATAGCTGTTCCAATTGAGCAATTTTAAATCACTGAAAAATATTTCATTATCCTTTTTACTCATTTTTTTACAAACTTTTTGGACATTTTCTGAGTGGAATGTCCAACTTTGTGTTGAAAAATAAGATAGTACACTGGAGAATTTGTGGATTTTTCTGTAGGCTTTTAGCATTCTGAAACAAAAATACATTATATATAACAAAATATTGAAACTATTGTATAAAAAGATATAGAAAACTATAAGTTTATTAATTTCTATTTTACTGTTTTACTTACTGTTTTTGTTTACATTTTTATTACTTTCATTAATATTGGCTTTAACGATAATATTTGTGCAGTTGTGGCTTTCTGTTTTTTTTTAACTTCTAAATCAATTTCCTTCTTTATACAATTATCATACTCTTTACTCTTAATTTTAACCAAATTCTTTTAACTTTTCTTTCTTATAGGCTGCACATCATCGCTAAAACTACTGAGACTATCTAGATCCGAATTAGAGTAAAATTTGTCTTTATAAGTTTTTCTTTGTTTTCTACTTTTTATGCAAGCGTCTTAATGAGATCTTTTGGTCGAAGACCTTTGAAAATGGCAAAGTCCTTGTTAGACAGGGTCATCACATATCTTCCTTCACGATGATTTACCATGCTGTTTTGCGTGGCGTACTTTAGAGCCCCTTTTATTTACATAGCAACGTTCCGTGGCATTGGACAAATTTGTACGAACACCTTGGATGTAGTGAGTTATTACTATTTAAGAAGATCCCGTCAATTCATTGTCGAATTGACTACATCCAAGGTGTTATCAATGCTAAACAAATTCGTCCAAGGCCACGAAACGTCGCTATGCAAATAAAACGAGATCTAAAGTACGCCACGCAAAACAGCATGGTGAATCATCATGGAATATGTGATGGCTCTTTCTGACAAGGATTTTGCCATTTTCAAAGGTCTTCGACCAAAATATTTTATTAAGCTGATTGTCAAGCTGAGAAAAATAGTACAAACTCCAAAAAATCGAAACGCCTTTCAATCAAATATATACCAAAAAGTGTAAAAAATACAGCAGTTTTACCTATGATGATTTTTTAGAAGACGCACGCATAAAAGGTAGAAAACGAAGAAAACCCTACAAAGGCGAATTTTACTCCAATTCGGATCTAGATAGTCTCACTAGTTTTAGCGATGATGAGCAGCCTATAAGAAAGAAAAGTAAAAAGAATTTGGTTAAAAGTAAGAGTAAAGACTATGATAATTGTATAAAGATGGAAACTGATTTAGAAGTTAAAAATACAGAAAGCAACAAGTGCACAAATAAAGCCAATATTAATAAAGGTAATAATAATATAAATAATACAAATATAGTAACAACCGTAAATGCAACAATATACTTTTTGAGAATTCAGAGAAGGCTTTCTATAGGAAACTAAATTCCACTGTAGAAAATGTAAATAAATCCTACCCAAGTCAAGAAGAAATTCATTAGTTTTGGGGAAATCAATTTTCGACGCCAGCTACTCATAACAACAATGCTGGATGGATTGAAGACACGGCGAACAATTGTCAACACTACAGGAATATTCCTTATGAACCTTTCACCACTGAAGAAGTCTTGAACATCATCAAAGAGCTTCATAACTGGAAATCTCCTGGACCAGACGGAGTTCAAAACTTCTGGTTAAAGAAGTGTTGGAGTGTTCATGAGCTTTTAACAGTATTTATTAATAATATTATTTCTAATTCACATGAAATACCATCATTTCTTACTCAGGGAACCACTTATCTAATACCGAAGGATCAAAATAACACCCAAGATCCAGCCAAGTACCGCCCAATTACTTGTCTTCCAACTTTGTACAAATTGGTCACATCCTGTATGGCCCGGCGTATCTACCAACACTGTGCTCTGAACAATATCTTAGAGCCCCAACAGAAAGGATGCGCTAAGGGCTCCATGGGCTGCAAAGAACAACTTATTATCGACTCAGTCATTTCTAACCAGGCATACACCAAAAAAAGAAACCTTTTTACTGCCTTATTGGACTACAAGAAGGCTTTTGACTCAGTGCAGCATGAATGGCTTATAGATATATTGAAAATATATAAAGTCGATGATAATCTCGTGACCTTTTTGAAGCATGTAATGACGAAGTGGAAGACTAAAATTCACCTTCAAATACCTGGTGAAACCAATATCGAAACTTAAGATATCGCTATTAACCGGGGCCTTTTCCATGGGGACTCGTTGAGTCCACTTTGGTTCTGCCTAGCGATGAACCCACTATCTCAGCTGCTGAACTCCACTGACTCAGGATTTAGCATCAAAAATAACAACACTGTTGTGGCGAAGCTTAATCATCTGTTATATATGGATGATTTGAAGTTAATGGCTTCCACTCGAAACCACCTAGATCAGATGCTAAAAACTGTAGAAACTTTCTCAAATGATATCAGTATGCATTTTGGACTAGACAAGTGCCGTATACTAAATATAGTCAGAGAAAAGGTTCAGCCCGGAGGTTTTGATATGCAAGATGGCAAAACATCGAGGCAATGGGTGAAAATGATATTTACAAATATCTCGGAGTAAAACAGGCGCGGAAAATTGACCATAAACAGATGAAAACTGAACTAACTTCGGAGTTCGTGCGAAGAGTGAGACAACTAAATCGGTCATATCTTAATAGTAAAAATTTGTTTAAGGCATTAAATACGTACGCCTGTTCCTCGCTGAGCTACTCATTTGGTATTATAAAGTGGTCAAAAACGGATATAGAGGGTCTTCAGCGGAAAGTAAGAACACTTCTCACAAAGGAGCAAAAACATCATCCGCGCAGTGCAGTAGAGAGAACAACATTGCCGCGGTATCAAGGAGGAAGAGGACTTATGGATATAGGTGAGCAATTAGATAAACAAATTGCTAATTTAAGAACTTATTTTTAGGTACAGGCTGAGACATCTACTTTACATCGAGCAATTTGCGCAGTAGATGACACAACGCCGCTTAAACTGAGAGAACAAGAAATACGCATAAACCATCTGACTAAGCAAGAAAATATGCGCGCCTGGATGAGTAAACCTCTGCATGGGCGACATCTCAATGAGATCAGCCAAGAATATGTCGACAATACATCGTCGAACTATTGGTTGACATCAGGAAAGATGTTTCCCGAAACTGAGGGTTTCCTACTTGCCATTCAGGATCAGGTAATTCCAACTAAAAATTACCTAAAATATATTGTTAAAGATCCTCAAGTCCAAAATGACAAATGCCGATATGGATGCCAAGCCCAAGAAACCATTCAACATCTTACCGGTGGCTGCCAGGCATTTGTCGGTACCGATTATAAAGAACGCCATGACTCAGTAGGAAAGATTATCCACCAAGAACTAGCTGACAAACTGGGACTTCTCCAAACCGACCATCTTTCTTATTATCAATATGTCCCTGACATAATGCTTGAAAATGACAACTACAAGCTATACTGGGACCGCACTGTGCTCACAGACTAACCAGTGGCCCATAATAGACCGGATCTCATACTAGTTAATAAACTAACTAGACAAACAACACTTAATGATGTGGCGATACCTAACACTAACAATTTGCGTGTTAAATACAACGAAAAGATCGCCAAGTATAGAGATCTGGAAATACAAATTACGAGACAATGGAGAATGGAAAGTACCCAGACAGTACCTATTGTTCTATCTACTACTGGTGTTATTCCCAAAAACCTCCTAGCAAACATAAAACAGCTGGGTCTAAATGAACATCTTTATCAGGCCATGCAGAAAGCTGTACTCCTCTCAACGTCCAGATGTATACGAAAATTTCTGGGAGATACTCCAACATACCAAGTCACCTAGGGCTCGATAACACGGAAAGAGTCCCACCAGAGCTCAATCCGTTTGATACCGTAGGTATCTGGGCTTAGAGGGAGTGTGAGCCGTATGGCTAAATCTGGATAATATCAATAAAAACAGTAAGGAGGAACTTAAAAAAACAGAAAGTAAAAATACAACAAGTAAAATTGAACTCGAGCACAGAAGATAAGAAAGAAGGTAATATTAAAAAGAACAAAAATGAAAATTTATTAATATTAAAACACCCCACCAACTACGGTGGTAAATAATGCAAACAAAAATAATTACACAGCGTTTACTTACTTTGGTTTTTTTCCAATACATAATAAAACACAATCTATTAAGAAGGCAGGAACTGTGTGTAGTAAAAATGCATAAAGAAGGTACAGGAAATAATTTTTTTCTAACAGCAAACATAGGTACCAAACTGCTCTGATGGACGGGGTGTGAACTCCATATTTTATAGTACTGTTCATGAAAATGTTCCAGTTAATAGGCTAAAAATATTTAAGTTTATTAGTTTTAATATATGCTATATGTAAATATTAAAAAAATAGATTAAACCTGAACTGTTTAAATTATTTTGTCATATTTTTATTTTTAAGATGAAACCAATTACTACTGCAAGTGCAATAATCACTAATCAAGTAAGTACACTACAAGTGCTAATAAATCAGAGGATAAGTTTAGCAAATAAACAGCAGAGATTTCCTAGTGAAAGATCGTGTAAAGATGCAATATTCGTTAAAAAGCAAGTTACTGAGCAATCAGTAAAGTATAATAGAGCAGCATTTCTGTGTTTGATTGACCTTAAGAAAGCTTTTGACACAGTAAGACTCAAATATGTAATCCATCTTCTGTATAATAAAGAAGTTTCCCCAAATATTATAAAAACTAACGAAAACATCTACCAAACCGACGAAATGGGAGTCCGAATAGATGGACAACTTACAGAAGCCATAAAAATAGGCAGCGAAATAAGACAAGGGTATTCATTGAGCCCCATGCTCATCAATTTGATCATGGATGAAATCATCAAAAGCGTTAACAAAGGAAGAGGACACAGAACGGGAAACAAGGAAATAAAAATACTCTGTTACGAAGACGACGCAATTGATAGCCCAAGATGAAGATAGTCTGCAAAGACTTCAAATTCAACAACTTCAATTGGTATTTTGCTACACTCCGCAAATTAAAATTTAATTGATTTTAAATGTGTTTTTAAAAAACCAAAGAAATAATTTATTGTGATTGTGTTTTTGAATATTCAAGTAAGTGATAACGACAAATTTGCTGTTTATTTATCAATCCAATAATTATAATTCATATCCAAAACTAGCACAAAGTTAATCATGCCTAATACATCGTTTTGTGCTAATTGTTCAAAGCTAACTTCTACCTCCGATAGAAAGCTCCAGTGCGATGGCTGTAAGAAACCAATTCACATTGCTTGTACGGATCTGTCGGTCGATGATCGAGTTACGAGGCAAAAAGTACGTGGTATATGTATACTATGCAATGCATGCAGTTCAAACATTACGAATATTACTGAAATCAAGAATCTACTTGTCGAGTTTAAAGCGGACATTAAAAAGAAAATTGAAGATTTTGATATTAAACTATCTGAATTCAGCAATAAATTAAATCAACTCGATTCTATTACAACAACAGAATTTACCGACAGCATTGTCAATGAAGCCGCTGACCGCATATCTCGTTCCAAAAATTTTTTGGTTAGAGGCGTCCCCGAACCTACAGGAGACGCACAAAATAAAAAAGATCATGATAAGAATAAAATACATTTAGCCCTAGAAGTCATTGGATGTCAAGAAAGTCCTGTTACATTTTATAGAGTCGGTAAACCAAATGAAAATAAACGTTATCCCGCATGATAAAAGTGATAATGAGTTCTGAACACCACACTCGAAAAATTCTTCGTAACAAAAATAAACTTTTGGAAAACAAATCTACTGAAACGTATTCTGTTATTGATGACAAGACACCTATGCAGCAACTTCGTTTAAAGGAACTTCGTACGGAGCTTGAAACTCGTAAAAATAATGGAGAAAATGACCTTACGATTAAATATGTGAATGGCTGTCCAAAGATAATGAAATTTCGCTCATAATTCTTCTGCACTAAAATTTACGGATTGGCTTCTTATGTATACTAATCTAAACTCTCTTATGTCCAAATTTAATGAATTTATAAGTACTGTTCAACTTTTAAAACCACACATTATTCTCCTAACAGAAACGTGGCTTAATTCTTCTATTCCCGATGCTATTGTAAACATTGATAATTTTACTATATTTCGTAGAGACAGAGGTACTCGTCGAGGGGGAGGAGTATGCATCTATTTAGCAAATGAAATTACCAACACTTTTTCTATCAGTAATAAAACAATAGACGTACCCGGTATAGAAATTATCCACTTACTTATTACTAATAACTCTTTCATATTTAATATAGTTTGCATATACCGACCTCCTGATACAGTACTTACTCAGGACAATATGCTTATTAACAAACTTGAGGAATTATCATCCCTTGAAAATCTCATTGTTGTTGGAGATTTCAATTTTCCAGAAATAAGCTGGCCCATTATTTCCAAAACTGATACTATCAATTCCCAAAATTTGTTTAAAAACTTTATCATGAACTCAAATTTAGTACAACTGATAACTGAACCTACAAGGTTTAGAGCCAACAATAATCCTTCAATTTTAGACTTATTTTTCACAAATGACGATGAATTAATTTCTTCACTTGAAGTGTCCTCCCCTGTGGGTCTTTCTGACCACTCGCTTATTACTGCTCACATTCAATTTAGTTTAACACCGCCTTGCAAAAATAATTTCGTAACGTATGCCACTACCAATTTCATTGATGTAAATTCAGTTTTATCCCAGTTAAACTGGCAATCTATTTTTTCTAATCACTCTGATCCATCGTCAATGTGGGACTCTTTTCTTCATACTGCTATTACAACAATTTCTGATCATACAACCGAACGGCAGGTATATAGAAATCGACTAAAACCTTGGATTAACCTCTCAGCTACTCATTTAATTCGACATAAGCGAAAGCTTTGGCGAAGATATAAACTCACTAGTTCCCCTGATGATTTTTTCGCCCACCGTAATTTTTCTAACCGAGTCAAACAATCTTTGCTAAAGTTAAGAACAGAATTTGAAGAATCTATCATTGCAAGTGGTAATAGTAAAAAAGTTTATCGGTACATTCGTACATCTTTATCTTCTAAAGTTTCCATACCATTGCTTCAAAAAGCTGATGGGTCTTTATGTTCTTCGAATAACGAATCTTCGGAATGTTTATCGTTATTCTTTTCTCAAGTTTTTACAGATGAATCTAACGATACCATTCCTCAAATAATGTGCCCTCGTTTGTCTAAAACTCTTGAAAATATATCTTTCACACCGGATGAAATTAAACATCATTTAAGGAAACTGCGAAATAATTCATCACCTGGATTAGACGGACTCACCTCTTTTTTCCTCAAACAATGTGCAGATTCTGTCGCCATCCCTATATCTCTCATAATGACTGCTTCTTTTAATCAAGGTTCCCTCCCCTCGTCCTGGAAATTGGCTTCTGTTACTCCTGTATTCAAGAAAGGTAATAAACTTGATTGCAATAATTATCGTCCAATCAGCCTGGTTCCTATTGTCGGCAAGGTCATGGAATCGATTATTTCGGAAGCTATGTCCGAGTTCCTTCTTCAAGAAAATGTCATCCCTCACCAACAGCATGGATTTATCAAAGGTCGTTCAACGATCACAAACTTACTTCATTGTGTAAATGATTGGTCATTATCTTTAAACAATCGGAATCCTGTCGATGTAGTTTACTTAGACTTCTCCAAAGCTTTCGATCGTGTTCCAAAACGTCGATTACTAGCTAAATTGGATCACTATGGTATCCGCGGAAAGTTAAACATTTGGATACAAGATTTTCTATCCGACAGATACTTCAGGGTTCGTGTTGGGGAAGACCATTCACTAGATAAGCCAGTCAAGAGTGGAGTTCCACAAGGATCAGTACTTGGACCGCTACTTTTTTGTGTCTACACTAGTGATCTTCCGCTCATTGTATCCAGTAAGGTTTCCATTTACGCTGATGACACGAAGTTATATGTGAATCCAACTATTAACCAACATATTCTTCAACAAGATCTTGACGCAATATTCAAGTGGTCCTCAGAATGGTTACTTCCGCTTAACATTGAAAAATGCGTTGTTTTACATATCGGCAAAAATAACCCATCACTGCCGTACTTTATTAATGGACATCCTTTAAACTCTGTAACCTCACACAACGATCTCGGAGTGATAATTAATAGTGACTTAAATTGGTCTGATCACATAGTGTCGGTGTGTAAACGTGCTAACTCGAAACTGTTTTTGATCCGTAAATGTTTTACACGCATATCTCTATCCTCTGTTAGTAAACTTTACTCAATATACGTTAGACCTATTCTTGAGTTTGCCGGACCAGTGTGGAATCCAGATTTTAGTCGCGATAAAATCCTACTTGAAAACGTTCAGCGTAAAGCCACAAGACTGGCATACGGCCGTGTAAGACCTAACTATGAAGATAGACTATTCATGGCTCATCTTACGACATTCGAGCAGCGACGTCTTCGAGGTGACCTAATTATGTCCTTCCGTATTTTAAAACATAATTTTGGGAACCTAAACAACATATTCACTTTGAATGAAGACGATAGATTAAGAGGCCATCGATACAAATTAAAGAGGGAACAAACTACTGCAAGGTCCAGGGCGAACTTCTTGCCAAACAGAATCTTTAATATCTGGAACAATTTGGATCATGACACCATATCGGCAGCTAGTGTTAACATCTTTAAAAATAAACTTGACAGAACTTTATTTTTTTTTTTATAGGATAGGATATTTTTTCTCGGACAGCATTATTTATTTATTTATTGTGTCACAATTCAATTTTTGTTAATTTGTTTAACTGTACTTAACTTTATAATTAGTATTAGTTTTATAAGGATATATTTTATTTTTGTTCATTTTTGCTTTTTGGGCATAATAGGAGCTCGCTCCTCTGCCCTTATTTATTATATAATAATAATAATAATAATAATAACTAGTCCACAAATTTAACGTAAAAGCAAAAAATTTTATATGATAATCTCATCTCAGAAACTAAAACAATTGTAGTCAGTAAAGAACCAACCACATGTAAAATAGAAATTGATGGCATCAGTATTGAACAAATAATGGAAATAAAATATCTGGGAATTACACTGTCCAGGTATGGAGATCTGGACAAAGAAGTGAGACATCAAGTACAAACAACAAATAAACTGGCAGGAATTACACTATATTAACAAACATATATTATTACCGAGATCAAGTCAAGAATTTATAAAGCAAGTGGAAGACCAATAATGACATATGCCTTAGAAACAAAACCTGACACAACAACAACGCAGAGGTTACTGGAAACGGCAGAGATGAGAGTACTGAGAAGAATTACAAGAAATACGGTCAGAGGTCAAAAGAGAAGTGTAAACATTAGATGAAAATGTATTGTACAGTGTATAAATGAATGGATACAAAATAGAAAAAAGAATTAAATAACCATATAAGCAGAATGAAAGAGATATATGTAGTCAAAATAGCAAGACATAAGTCAAAATCACTCAGGGACAGAGTTTCGAGTCAGATAGTAAGGAGAAAAACTGGTGTGACGGACGCAGTTGAAAGAATTACAACCCTGAAATGGAACTGGGCAGGACATGTTGCTAGGGTCAGAGATGGAAGATGGACAAAGAAAATTTTAGAGTGGAGGCCTAGACACGATGCTTATCGTAGTCGAGGACGTCCTCCAACAAGGTGGTCGGACGATTTAAAGCGCATCCAGTCTAACTGGATTCAAGTTGCTCAAGATCGGATGCAATGGAATTATTTACGGGAGGCCTATGTTCAGCAGTGGACGCAAAATGGCTAATGATGATGATGATGAGGATGAAGTCAAAATATAATATAAATAATAGCAAAAGATGGAGTGACAACGTTCAATAGAGGTAATAATCTGCCAGTGAACAATCAGAATTGCTTATAATAAGGAGGAAAAAGAAGAAGATGAAACCTTATTAAACTGAAAAAGGCATTCAAGGAAGAATTGAGTATCACAGTTTTACTGTTGAAAATTTTTGGAGATGTTGCTTTTTTAACGGAAGCATACAAAAATATAATTTTATGTGTTTTGTTTTTGTATAAATTCTCTCTATCTCTTTTCCTCTTTCTCTCTCTCTCTCTCTCTCTGTCTCACTATTTCTCTATTAAATAGCTTAATTCACCAAAATCACCATTTGTCCGACGTAGAACAATTACGGGTTTCTTGTTAGGTCAATTATTCAAAAACCTTTGGCTTTTATTAAAAGCATGCCTCTAACTGAGCCAAATTATCAGATTACTTCCGACGTACAAAGAAAAAGGTATCAAAACAAACGAATTCTTGCTACCCAATATTATAAAAACATTTTTAAAACTTTAGTTATCAAAAATTCGACTTCTTCTAAGTTAAGAACTCCCTTAGATACTTTCATTAAACATGTTATGTGTTCTTAGTTTTCCGGTTAAGCAATAGGACGTTTTATTATTCAATATGCTGTTGAACAAACTGGACACCAAAACTCGTATAGATTTTGAATCAGAGAATAATAGAATCTGTGGCATTCCTACTTTTCTACTCATTCCATTCATTGTTGATTATTTTCTCATCATTCCAATAAAACCCGGTTATTTCTAGTTTGTTCAGTGCCACAAATCAACTTTAGGTAAATTATAAAGGTGTTACATGTGTCCTATCTTCTGGTTTTCATCCTTTACAAAATTTTTCTTTTCGAAAAAGATCGTTTCTTGTTAGTTAAACGACATAACTTATGTGTAAACTAGTTGATTTTAGCTTATTTTATCAAGCACTGTAGTTCTTCGCAGAAATATATGGTTTGAAAATCACCGCATCACTTTACTTTTTACAATTGTTTCAACAGCAACATCAAGTGATAACGTCAACTCTGTATTAGAAACGTCCTTAATCTCACACTTTAGTTTTGCTTCGACTTGTTATTCCACATGTTTAACACCTACATACATATCAAAGATGTCTTTGGCAATTTTTAGGACATTCCCTCAATGGCTAATTTTATTTCGGAATAAATTATCAATCCCTATAGAAAATCTAAACCACCTATAGTACTACTGTTCTCTCTCATTAAACCATGTGATCGAGACGATTCGATCTTCTTGTTGGACGCATGAATTCTCAGGACACAGATCACAAATTTTATCAACCAGGTCCTATGGACATATTCATATGTACTGAATTGGTTCCTCTTTTCTTAAACTCTGGTCTAATTCTTGGCAAACCAAATCAACATGTGACCTTAGAAACCGTTTTCAGTTATGTTCTAAAACGGCAAGCCTCTAGGTACTTCCAACATATTTTTCACGTCTTTATACTCCTCCTCCACCTCCCCTCTATCCTTTATCCTTCGTAAGGATGTGATGACGTTATGGTATTTGGCGAATGGTTGCTATCCATTCTTCTCTCTCATGGGCGCGGTGTGCTGCCTTAGACAGAGAGTAACCGATAGCGCACTTTTTTTGGTCTGACCATCGGAGTGGCCTTCTTCCTCGAGTTCTTTTACCATCTACCTTACCTTCAACCACCAACCTGTCCATACCTTCCATTCGTCTGGTAATGTGTCCAAAGTACCTCAATATATTTTGGTTGATGATTGTGGTAAGCCTAGTATTAATGTAGAGTTCTGTCAATATTGAGACATTTGTGCGGTGTGCTGCTGATATATCCACATTTCAAAGGCCGTTATACGTCGTGAGTCGTACACATGTTGATGGATAAAACCTAGATATTCTTTTACGAAAGTTTTGGGAAATCGATAATATATCTAAACCTGTTATTTTATTCCAGAAGCAAGCTTGTCAAAATTTAATAATTAATTTTCCGAGAGTCAACAGATAGATTTTCTGTTCATCTACCGTTTTGATAACAGAATGCTTTTTTTTTTCGATACTTATATTAAGACATATTGTCGCTTTTGAGTGTTAGACAATAGTTTCAGCAAAATACAGAATCTGAACAATTCCTGAACGCTTCCTGAATCCGATTGTAAATCGCCTATTTCTTAATACGTTGCTCATAACGTAGTTTTTAAAAAACAAATTGTTAATTCGTCTCTTGTTTCCAAAATTCATGTTGTCTTCGACGCCAGTCAATGTGACATTCGAGGTGTCTTCCTTAATGGCACTTTATATACTTGTCCTTAGCTTTAAAAGGACATCTCTTCTCTATTACTTAATTTTCGATATTCTTGTTACTGCTTCAAGTGAGATCTACAGCAAATGTATCGACAAATTAAAGTAAACAACGAATTTTGAAATGTGCCCTCTCCTCAATAAAAGCTGGCTACTACAATTTGGCTACTATAATCAAAATTTGGCAATGTCGATTATCGAATATTTCTTAGCCATGATAGTGTTTTCCTCCCTAAACCTCTCTTTCTCCTTATCTTTCCTTTCACTATTAGATGAGCATATTGGTACCCATTAGTTATTAGTTGGTGGCTTAGTGATGATCTTTTACTGTATAGAAAAGTTCTCGCTCCTTGTCATCATCTTTAATGTTTAAACGTTTAAACATCGACTCTAGTAGACAATTTTAACTTCATAGTAAATTTATTGTAGTAGTATTTATCTATCAGTATCTTAATGTCGGAATAAGTTAATAAAACATTAAATAGTAACTACTTACGCTATCATTACTGCTTTCGAAGTTGTAAATAGGTATTTCATAGTTCTTATTCTGATGTTTTGCTTCTAAAAATTGTTCTGAGACATCCCAAGCCGATGCGATTATAGAGTTGACACACATATCTCCTGGCACTATGTTTGCATTGGCATATTCATCACAATGCACTACCCTAATTAGACCTACACCTGCTCCTGCAACTATCCCTGTAGGACCATACATATTATTTATCCATGCTCTTACTGGTTCTCGGTAGGTTGCAACAACTAAAAATGATATGATTGATTACCAATATGACTCTACTGAGTCTAGTCTTTAGATCTAGTCTGTTTACTTTTAAAACAATTCATAGTACATTGACTTACCTATGGCTGGTCTTACAACACCGAGTGGAAGACCTTCTCCCACTTCTTGGACAACACCTTCAGCAATCTGTTTGGTATATGCATATGTATTAGGATACTTGTCGAGCATTCTTAAAAAAATAAAGTTTTATTAACAAATGGATTTTTACTAAACAATAATTATATATTTAATAGGATAATAGACTCCCGTGAGGAGTTTTTAGATACTCCATCGAACGCCTTTCCAATAGGTGGAGAAGGAAATGCGTATTAGCTATGGGTGGTACCGAGCAAATGATTTACTCGGGGCTAGCCAAAACTAGCGCATAAACATGTTAAACGGCTTTTTTTACTATCTTAAATTGGTAAATATAGGGGTATTTATAGTATAGTAGTAATCACCCTATTAAGGATGAGTGGCGGTACACGGTGAGTTGTCTACAAACTCCATTAACTAGAACCTAGAAATATTTAATGACATTTAGACAACGGGGATCTGCTCAATCGAAGAAGGAAAAAATGTCATTGAGGACGAGAGAATTGATAACTGACATTGCGAAATAATTATTTGTGTAATTAGAGAGCCTGTAATGTCATCGTCCCATTAGGGATGAGAGATTGTAATTGTTACAGGCATGAGACAGTTTATGAGATAATATAAAATTAAAAAGACATTTAATGAAAACTTGGCATTTTGTGGTACAGTAAATATAGTACAGGACTCGATTATATTTGTCGAGAACGAAATATATACAGAGCTGTACCAAGAAATAAATTTGTTTTGTCGATAAAGAAATATGTTAAAGCTGTAACACTTAGTTTGTTTATTTCCATTTTATATTAAAATAACCAAATTTTTTATTTTAAATTATAGATATATTCCATACTTTGGAAGAGCAGTGGAATCATTAATATTGATACTCACATAGGAGTTAAATTATCCATCATTTTATCCGACAAAGTTTCTGTCATCACTAGCAGCTTTTTGTAATCCAAAGCTGGAGGGTAAAACTTCTCCTTAATTACTTTTTCTGGGCAATTTGCAAAGGCAGTGGAAACGTGGATAAAGCTTTTAAGTTTTGGCATTTGGTGGGCAAGATTCAATAACTCCTCTGTAGCTCGTACATTAATGGCAACTGCTGTCTTCATTTTTTCGTCAAAACGAACTGTAGCTGCAGCATGAAATACTATGTTAATCTGAAAAGTATAACAGTTGTATAATGTCATAAAATATATTAAATAACTTCGTAATGTCTCTTATTAATTATCTAATATTTAACTACCTAATTGGAGTGAACATACATGGAGAGTTTCTGAACAACTTGAAATTTGCAGCTGACATAGTCATTATTGCAGACCGGGTAGATCATGCCTGCCGGCTTGTTCTAGACCTTCAGAGTTCGTGTACAAGAGTTGGACTTAAAATTAATTTTTCCAAAACACAATATATAACCAACCTTTTACTGGCAAAAAGCATCTCAACTAACGGCACGCAAATTGAACAGGTGTATAGCTATAAATATCTGGGCTACGAGATTAAATTAGGAAAAGATAAACGGAGCTAAACAGGAGAATAGGACTGGCATAAGCGGCTTACGGAAAACTGAGAGAAGTCTTTAGATCAGATATTCCCATGTGCTTGAAAAGGAAAGTCTTTGATCAATGTGTTCTCCGTGTTCTAACGTATGGAGCAGAAACATTGACCCTTACCACAAAAGTAATCAATAATATACAAGTGGCACAGAAAGCGATGGAGATGTCATTGCTGAATATATCCCTCAGAGACAGAGTATCAAATACAATAGTTAGGAGAAAAACTAGTGTTACTGACGCAGTTCAAAGGATTACAATATTGAAATGGAACTGGGCGGGGTATGTTGTCATTAAAAGATGAAAGTTGATGAAGAAAATTCTGGAATGGAGAGCTAGACATGATATTTATCGTAATTGAGGACGTCCTCCAACAAGCTGGTCAGATGACATTAAGCGCATTTAGCACAACTGGATTTAGTGTGCTTAAGACAGAATGCATTGAAATTATTTACAGACGGCCTATGTCCAGCAGCGGACTCAAAACGGCTGATGATGAACTACCTAATATTCTTATTTCTAAGGAAAATATGAGAATTGTACGGAAATGATATATTAGACCTATGCTCTCATGTATGATGTGTGTGTCTGTGTGTGTGTGTGTGTGTGTGTATGTGTATGTGTATGTGGACGTGGACGCTCACAAATGGAAAGGAAACTCATGTTTTAAGAGGAAATCCTGAAAATGATTTTCGGACCCATCACGACCCGAATACTAACCATTAGCAAATGAGAAACAATTGTCGGGGTCACACAGATATTATCATATGAGGATAGTGACACCTCCAGAAAAACATTGAAGAAGTGAGAAGAGCAGATTGGAATTGTTAAAGACCAAAAAAACTGGAAAAACCTAGCTTATAAACCAAAGGTCCTTTTCAAATAATTTCCTATCAAAAATTGTTACAACATTGTAAAAACTTACCTCTTCCATTAAAGTTTTTCTATCTTGTATCGACAGGCCAATATCGGGCAACGAACAATCTCCAGCAACAGCAACAATTTTGTGCATAAACTTTGGACATTCAACTTTCATTTTATCAAAAACGACGTCTTCAAAAATTTCCTCCACTCTCGTTGTTACATTTTTGCCTTTTTTGTTTCTGACGAGGACGTAGATGCTGTTGACTTCGTTGCAGGACCGTAGTAGTTTTTCCAAAAGAATTTTTCCTAGGAAACCGGTTCCTCCAGTAACAAAAATGTTTGTGTTCTTATAAAATTCTTGAATCTGGGTGAGTGATTTATTTTCTGTTTGTTGGTTTTGTATTGTTTCATGGTCAAAGTGATCAAACTTTAAAGGATCTGTAACAAATACAACTAGAAATAGAATTTTCTTAAAAATCGATAAAGATAATTAAAATATATATTACAAGATGTTTATCCCCTACATAATTCTCATTATTACAAATATCCATATAAATTAATTAAATTGCGACATGTTTGGATACCTGTTTTGGTCAGTAAATGTAAGTAAAGTAAAGTAAATCAGATCAAATTGTATGCCTTTATATAATATTAATATCCTTAGCAGGGCATTCTGTTTCTGAGGCATAGAGTTGCTTACATGCATCCATGCTTTAATTTTTTTTAAGATTTAATTTGAACTTTTTTCTGTTGCACTAAAGCGTAAAGGACTAAAAACAATAATTAGTAAATTATTTTTGTTTATAGACATCAGATTTAAAATCAAATACGTATTTATGAATTCAACACAGAGGCGGAGAGGATAACGCATCGAGCACAAAGACAAAAGAGGGAATGTATAGGTAGTGGGGGCAAAAATATTGTTAGACAGAAAGTCCCATCTTGAGAGGCCACATTAGCAAGGAAATAGAATCTCTTTCATTATTTAAGAAATCAAATTTAATTGGGTTATGTTATTGTTGATGTTATTGTTTGTCCCGACTGTCACATGAAAAATCATGTATTTTTTATTGAAGTTTTTTAACAATTGTTTCACATTTTAGACTATTATCGTTATTGTTTAATGAAAATTTATTGTGCTCTAGTGTTAAAAAAATATTTTATCAGCCCCATCAGAGGCCACTTTTTTGGTCTCCTTTTCATAACGATTAGATTCCCTCCTTTGTCTTTTTGCTCGATGGGATAACGAGAGTGTATTTTGTCACTATTGTTTACTATACTATACTTATATATACTCTGAGAAAATTTTCAGGACTTTCAGGAGCGAGTTGAAGGATTTTATGGTATTTTAGGAAATGGAAAACAATTACATTGACTACACAGTCGATAGTATGAAAGTTTTACAAAATATACCTAGGCAATAAAGTTTCAGAAATGAGTCAAAATTGTGGACGAAATTTTGATATTAAGTAAACTAAATTTAGGCAAAGATAACGCACCAACTAAAAGAATAGAAAAAAACAAGAAGCAAATAGTCCAAACGTGACTTACTATATGAAATCTGACATAAAACGTGATATAATACATGCCATTTGACATAATACGTTACATATGACATAAAACGTGACATAAAACGTGACATGGATGTGAATGTGAATCTTGGACTCTGAGACAATCGGAGAGAAGAAAGATAGACGCCACTGAAATGTTCTGTTGGAGACGAATGTTACGAATTCCTTGGACCGACCGTAGAACAAATAATTCAATTTTAAGAGAGCTCAAAGTTAGCCAACGACTCTCTAGTAAAGTCCATCTCCAACAATTAAAATATTTTGGGCATGTTATGAGAGCAAACACAGAAAACATGGAAAGACTCATAATACAAGGAAAGGTAGAAGGCCGAAGATCACGAGGAAGATCCCCAACAAGATGGATAGATCAAATTACAGGAGTATGGCAAAGACCTATGCATGAATTAAAAGAAATGACCAGAGACAGAGATCTCTGGAGACGGACAATACACGACATCACGTCGATCACTACACTCCCCCTGGGGGGTCAGGATTGAAGAGACAAAACGTGACATAAAGCGTGACATAAAATGTGACATATTACGTGACGTAATACGTGACCTAAAACGTAAAAAGTTATATTATACGGGACATATGATATAAAACGTGACATAATACACGCCGCCATTAAAAAATAGCGCCTTCACAAAAAAAAATTAAGTCAAAAGTCAAAGTGTGATAAAGTAGCTTACTATCTACTTTACTTGCAAAACTAAATATAGTTTTACAATGGTTATTTGACATCCAAGTCATTCAACCGTGGCAACAAAATTGGGAAAAGTACACTTGTATAAGTCCACTTAGTCCAAGTTGGAATCCAAGCATTCTTGGATCGTGTCAACTCGCATACAGTAGAACACTTTTTGCTCAAAGAGTATAGTTATTATAGATTTAGCATAACCTCTAGCAGATACTTAGTTCGCCAAATGTTACAGTACTATAATCGACTTTTTAAAAGAGTGCAGATTATATATCATCTTATATAAAAAATATTGTAAAAAAATATTGCTATAATGTTCCTTAAAATTGCCGAATTGACCACAGATATACGGAACTAATATATAAGGAAGCCAAAACAACAATTAAAGTATATGAAGGAACAAAATCATTACAAATAAGTAGAGGCGTGAGACAGGGTGATACAATATCACCGAAACTTTTCAATCAGGCTCTTGAAGATACTTTTAAAAGATTAGAATGGGAAAAAAAAGGTATAAAAATTTGTGGACAACGCTTGAACCATCTAAGGTACGCTGATGACATCGTATTGATAACCGATAAAAAAGAAGAATTATTTGAAATGATGAAAGAACTAGACGTAGAAGCTAGAAAGATAGGCCTTAATATGAATTACAGCAAGACCAAAACTATAGCAAATACAGATGAAGACATCACAATGAGAATCGAACAAGATGAAATAGAACAAGTTAAGAATTATATATATCTTGGTCAAACTATAAAACTTAACAAAGAGAACCAAACAGCAGAGATCAAGAGAGGAATTAGACTGGCATGGGCGGCATTTATCAAACTAAGCTACATTCTTAAATACAAAAGATATCCACAGCATCTTAAGACCAAAGTATATAATCAATGCGTACTCCCTGTTCTTACTTATGGTTCCCAAACGTGGACATCTACAAAAGCAAACATGGACAAAATCATAAAAACCCAAAGAGCAATGGAAAGACAAATGTTGCACATAAGACTAATGGGTAAGAAGAGGAACGAGTGGATAAGAGAGAAAACAAAAGTGAGGGATGTTAGACAAGAAGTTGCAAAATTGAAATGGAGATTTTCCGGACACAATATAAGACAAAAAGAAGACCGATGAAACAAAATTCTTATATGTTGGAGACCGTGGGAATATAAACGAAGCAGAGGAAGGCCCCAAATGAGATGGGCAGATGATATCAAAAAGCACATGGGCTCTAGATGAATGACTGTAGCGACAGACAGAGAAGAATGGAAAAGGATTGGGGAGGCCTATATCCAAAGATGGACCGAAGAAGGCTAATTAGATAGATAGATAGTTCCTTAAAAAACAAATATTGATTTGGGATGTAAGAGACTGCATTTAAATAACTCTAATATGACCTATTGTATTTAATACAACAGACCTTTTTGTACCCGTGTCAATGGCCGTACCTGTCGAGATACGTTGATTTCAATAAAAAAAAACTATAATATCCAATAACCCATAAGTTGTAAAATAAAAAATACAATCTATAAACCAGACAAAAGTATATTATCCAAGAACCTACAAGCTTTAAACTAAAAAATTGTTATTGTTTATGTTTATCGAACTACTTAATAAAACACTGAACCAGCAGTAGGTAATCAAATAAAAAATGTGGTCATTATACGAGTACAATATGATTATTATGCAGTCTTTGTTAAAACAACATAAGTATTAATAAAAAAACTTTATAACAAGTGAAATTTGTGTACGCTTAGCTTTTTCTGACAAGAAATTCAATGCGTCGAATTTATATTTGTTTATAAACAAACTACCATAAACTTTTTAGGTAATTTTTTATGCTGTATTGTTTTCACTTATTCTTTACTCGTTTTTAATTAATTTTTCCAAATAGTTTTAATATTATGTTATCTTCCTTGATTTATTTTTCAAAAATATTGCAGCATCCTTCCAATGTTCTATTTAAAAAAAAAACTGTCTTTCACATATTTCTTAATACCCAACAATAACATGTTTTCCGTACTTGTTCCGTAGTAGCCTTTGTGATTGAATTAAAAGATTGAATCATGAGATTATTTTGCATGGTTTCTTCTTCTTCTTCTTTGTCAACCATTTTTCATCTACTCCTGAATGTAGGTCTCTCCCAATTGCTTCCATCTTTCTCTATCTTGCGCCAATCTAATCCACTGTTTGCCTGCTACTGCTCTTATGTCATCTACCCATCTTTTTTGAGGTCTTCCTATGCTTCTTTTTGTCGTCCTTGGTCTCCATTCTAGAATCCCCTAGAATTTTAAGGGTTTCCTCTCTCTTGGATGTAAGGTGACCATTTCCATCTTTAATCTTTATTATCTGCCTTGTTCCCGTTCTAAGTCGTTTTGTCAACTTTCTTTACTTCTATTGTTCTTAATGGTATGTTTGATTTGTTTTTGTTTGTATTTTTGAGTGTCTTATCTAACAGCTTTGGATATTTCTTTATTTAATTTTTGTAGTTTGTCGGTTTTGGCTTTCGTCTCGCTTTTCATTTTTATTCTTTTCTGCATTAGTTGCCTGGTATTTTGGCTAATCTTTTCGTCTTTTTGAGTTCTAAGACAGAATTTGTTTTGACTTTCCAGTAAAGCATTTGCTAATTTATTATTTAAGTCATTTATATTATTTTCTGTGTCAGAACTACTAAGTATGTCGGAAATACATTGCCGGAAACTATCCACATTTGCTGGTTTCATCAATGGTTTTGATTTGTTCTTCTGTTTAATCATTTGATACATCTGATGGTAACAAATCTTTTTAGAACCGCGATGTATTTAACAGTGTATTTTTTGTAAGTGATAATAAAATCTGTTTTGTTTTGCGTTTTTCCATTAGGACTTTGCCATGCCCATTTTCTCTGTGATTTCTTTTTGAAAAAACTGTTCAGTTGGAATAGTTGTAGAGTGACGGGGCAAAGTGATCTAAGTGCCAAAAAATCAAAAAATCACTTTTTCCACTCAAAGTGTTCTATGTGCCATTGCCAGTAGCCCCACTGTGATTTAAGTCCCTATTCTACTGTTACCAACAGCTACTAGCTGTTACTAACAGCTATTGTAAGGAACGGACTGGAATAAAGAAGATATAACTCCATGAGTCCTACTATTCACTGGATTTAAATGCACAGGGTAGTTATCTTATGG